AAACTATATCTTTTTCTTTCAGCTGGATATGATGTCAACATTTGGTTCAATACATCAACAGCACCCATGTTGACATTGTAATCACAAATGACCACAAGTTTTACTCTAGTGTGACGATGACTAACAACATCTTGAACTGCAGCAGTATGATTAGTTGATTTCATTGTAACATCTTTTTTGTCTTGCCATTTCAAAGACATCAGTTTTACGCAGAACCTGAAAATAATTTCACCACACAGTATTTGTTTTTTCAAATCCATGGGTAGATGTTTTTGGTTCAAACAAACAGTCCCAACTGAATCAGTTTGATTTTGCATAAGTTTTTTGAACAGTGATGGAGATGCGTAGAAGTTATCCATAAACACTGTATAACCGGTCGCAACAAGGTCGTGCAGTAATGTCAAGACAATTCTAGAAGTCTTCAGTTTAATCCATAAATGCTTGGAATTGCATTGCAGGTCCAACATGAGTGAATTAAATGTTCTATCAGATATCACCACTACCTGATTCACAGAGCAGGTATGATTTTAAACCAAATCAAGCTCATTTCAGTGGTATATATTGTTTCATTGCTAATCTTCCCTTCCAGAGCATCATGGACTTGTCAACCTCTATATTCTGTCAGGTGTACACATTATTGAAAATCTGGAAACAATTGCTTTGAAAACAGGTTTGATTTTATTGAAAAAACTTCTCTGTATTAGACTCAGCTACTGGGAGGGCCGTGTTATCAACAAAATGCAAATATCTTATAAGAAGGAGGAATCAATGAGACATTATATGTCTCACATAAGGTGTGGCCAACATAAAATTAGTAGTCCAACACATTGCCGATTCTAGCTTTTGTATTAACCTCTGGTACAAAGATATGACTAGAAAAACTTTCATCTCACAGGGATTTGTATCTCTCCACTTTCTCAACCTCGACTTTCTTTTCATATGTGGATTTGCAAATAGCTGAGATTAATAGTTAATAATATTCATACTATTGTAATAGTTTCTATTACAATAGTATGAACATTATTAACAGTCATTCATTGTTGGAAGTATTTGAGAGAGTCATCAGGTGACATTATCTGAATTTTTGGGCCAGGAGTGTCTGAGAATGGCAGTAACTGTTGTATCTGCTGCAGTGCATTAGTAAATTGGAACACTTAATTGTCATCAGCATCATAATCAAATGTTTCATCATCTGCAACAAAAACAGCATTAGAATCCTTGCTGGAACTGTCATCAGAACTATCAAAATCCAAAATGTCAAGTAAAATGTCACTTCTGTATTCTGAACTGGAATCAATTTATTGAATAGACACTTCCGATTCGGCTGCTGTCAACTAGAATTTTTTTTGTATCTGCCATAATTTACTTTTGTGGTTTATTTCTGGAATCTAAAACAAATAAAAAAAGTTTAACATTTTACAAACATTAAAAAAAAAAAAAAAAGAAAATAAAACCACTAAGTTTTTCTTATAATTTTCTTTATTTATACCTTCTCTTCAAACTATTCAAGCCAAAATAGATAAGAAAAAAAACTTAGAAAAAAAAATATATATATAATAAACGTTCAATGTAATGTGCTCTTTTCATTTAAATAAGAAAAGTAAAATAACGTGCATAACAGTACCTAGATGTCAATGTCAGTAAAACAATAATAATACGTGCATAACAGTACCTAGATGTCAATGTCAGTAAAAAACATAATATTACGGTCATCACATCGTGGTAAAATTTAGTTAAACCATAATATTACAGTCACCACAGGAACGGGGTTAAGTTATCAGCCTTAAAGAAAAATAATTGCACATCTTATTTTTCTGCTTATTAAAATCATATTAAAAATGGTAATTGTAATTAGTTGCAATAATATAGGTAACTGATGCACAGCTTTTTAAACTGAATACTTATTATTAAAAAGACAATCACTTTATGTAACACTGCTATAAAAACTGCTTATGTTAATTAGCAAATAACAATAATGTTGTTAACTCTTATGCACAGCTATTTAAAATGAATACAAAATAGCAAGAAGATCCTTGTATTTACTTAATACTAAGAAGACAATTGTTTTATGAAACATTAATATAAAATTACTAATGTTATGTTAAACAAAGTTCTCACTAAATATATCTATTTTTTAAGAGTTCTGTTATGGAAAAAAAAAAATTAAATTTATTTTCAATACATGCATTTATTCCAATTGGCGGCAAAAATTTACAAAAAAATAATTAAACGTAACTATGAACATATTCTTTTTCATCTGTACGGTTTTACGTTTAATTTTCTCATAGCTTTTTTCGCCATTTACGAAATCATTACTATGAATAAATTATTTTAAAATAAATTTAAAAATATCATCGTTTGCAAATTATTGTTTTTTATTAATGAAGGAATCAAACAAACCATATATTTGAATAGGGTTGAAAATTTTCAATTTTTCAATTCAATTCAAGGAAATTTCAACTCAGGAAAATTTCTGGAAAATTTGGAAATTTTTAAATAAGTTTTTTTTATAATTAATGGGTAAAATTATGTCATATTTAGGCAGTTGTAATAGACAATTTTATGGTGGAATATTGTGAGGTAAATTATAAAAATTCTAGAAAGCCCCCTTTGAAGAACACTTTTTTTAGCATTTTGTTGAGTTTTTTGTTTTTTTATAACTCAAGTAGCAACTATGTTAATTTGTTTTAAAAATTTTTTAAAACTATTTTATCCTGTTATTTGCTAAACATATTGATGTTCATTGCCATATTTGCCAATATCTATTAAATTGGCCTTCAAATTACTGAGAACGGAAAAATTATATATTAAAAAATTTAATATTTTTACAAATTTTTCTTGATTTAAAGATTGATTAATGGAAGGGAAAAAGTAAAAAAATATTTTTTGCTTAATTCAAACTATTTAAAAATATATTTACTAATAAAAATAAAGAACTAATGATTTCGAGGTTATGAATTCCACCGTTATGTTTGAAAAAGTGTTTTTAAGACTTGAGTCTCACTCGCCACAACCTTGCTAGGGCATTTTTGACTTAATAAATCTTTAAATTTAAAAAACTATCAGTCTGTAAAAAGTAATAATACTACTACTAATTTGACCCAGACCCCTGGTTTCTTAAAAATGAAATAAAAATTGGTGCTTAAAAACTAAAACTCACCCAACTGTGTCAAAAACCAGACTAGCCCACTAAACTCATCAAAAAACGACTATAACTTAAAAAAATATCTTCTTTGTGGGGGTAAATTTCCGGAAGTGTTACAGAAAATTTTAACCCTATTTTTAAAAAAATATAGGGTTGAAAATAAATACATTTCTAGTAAAAACATTGTTTTATGTAACATAAGTAACTGTTATAGTAGCATTTCAAAAAACAATTTCTTTCAGTATTAAGTATTCAGTTGAAACTTTTTTAATACTTTTATAAAAATTGTTATGTATTAAAAAAAAAAAAACCAAAATTAAATTACTTGGCTGGTATTAAACTTCCTTTTTAATTGAATAAAAATGTGTGTATGTAAGAATTATTTTGAACTATTAACATTAGCTGGTAATTTGAATGTTAGTTATTTGCAAGTTTAAACTTGAAAAACATTTAGAATATTCAATTTAATATAGGTTTAATAGCCTTATTTTTTGCATTCCCACACAAATTTTGAAAGTTCAGTGGAGTTGGCTTTACTTTCATAAACAAAAGAGTTTTAATGTTTACACCACCTGTCTTTGAAAGTTTTCTCAGTAAGCTCAATGTAATAATATCCTTCTTCTTCTTGGTGAGTTTTTACTTTGTAAATATAAATAAGATTTTTTGTAAGGCATTATGTGGAAAAATACTACATTATTACATAACCATTAAATTTGCTTAAGAAACAAACCGAGCTTACTTCAAAATGCCGCTATGAGAATAAATTTCTAATAAAGAATTTTAATGTCATCAAAGCGGACACTCTATAGTATTTTATGTATATAATGGTAACAAAATGGGTAACAAAAGCTTATTTTTAAATTAATAACATTTTATTATAATAATACATAACTATTTTTTTATTTAGTAATAGTTTTACCTTAAAAAACACAAACTCAATTTTTTAAATAAGTATTATATAATAATATAGTAATATCATCATATGATTTCAGGCATTGTTTTAAATAAAAAACACAATAGCCTAATGTGAATTTGACATCATAAAATTCTATTTTTTTTATTTTTTAAAGACAAATTTTTTTAAATTACTGTGCAAATTTTTGATACAGTCGTTTGTTTAAAATTTAATTTTGAGTAAAAAAATTTTTTTAGGAAGCCAAAAAAACAATTGCAATAAAAATGAGCTAACTTTTTTTTTAAGAACAAAATTTAAATATTGAACAATATTTAGTAATACTTTTAAATAAAATTGACAGTTACACCCAAGCATTTATTTTAATAAACTTGAATAAATTTTCAAATCAAAATTGAATTATATATATTTCTAAATCTAATTTTATATATATATATATATATATATATATATATATATATATATATATATATATATATATATATATATATATATATATATATATATATATATATATATATATATATATATATATTTTACCAGAATAAAATTATATATTTTTTATTAAATTAGTTTTAAATTAAATCACATATTTTTTCAAGCGAAAAAATTATTTATTACAATAAAATAAAAACAAAATAAAAATAAATTTTTCATTTTATTCAGGTTTTTTTCATTTGTAAATAGCGCTTATATCTAGCATATTTGTCATTCAAACTTTTGTAACAAATGTTTTTACATAAGCGTCATTTAAAAATCAATGTGATTTTTTTTTAAATTAATTACTTCTTTTATCTTACCGCTTATATAAAAATTTGAAAGTTAAAAAATGATAAAAAGATGCTTAACGAAATCGCATACTGCTTACAAAAAATAGCTTCAGGCATACGTAAATGGCTCTATGTGTAACATTTTAAAACAAGGCCTGTGATTATGACATACCTTATTAGGTATTTCATTTGCAACTGTTTTAGTGTCCAGATGAATATAAACAATATACGCAATATCTCTTAACATGATGGAGGCGATCAAATTTCTATGTAACATCACACATTGATTTTTAAGCGGACTAAAAAAAAAAATCATTAACAAAATAATATGAAACACCTAATTTTATAGTAATTTTTTATGCCTCAAAATAGTAATTTTAGATAGAGAAAAAAAAAACATTTTCAACATGTTAAATTTTCAACATTTAACAACAGTTAAACAGAAAGAAAGAAAAAGATAAAAAAATATTTAAAAAAGTATATTTACTTATGTTACTATTTAAACAACTAATTAAATATAAATAACATGTTTATTATTTTTATCTATAGCTAAATAAACAAAATATTTAACTTAAGAATAAGTTTGAAAACACATATTAAAAATTAAAAATTTTTAACTACAAATCTAGAAAAAACAATTAACAAAATATTATGCTTTAATTTTTAACATCATGTTCATGTTCCGAATTAAGCATATCACGATTGTTAATCACGACTGCTTTTAACAACTTTGCTTTTAATTTTTTCTTAAAAAAAATATTTTTGTGATTAATTTATATTTTTGTTCATTTTTTTTTCTTTTCTAATTTAGCATTTTTTGGCCATTTATAAAAATAATGTATAATTATAATGTTAATTATTAATGTATAAAACTTATAAGAGTACGTCTCTCTAAATTTATTTTTTAAATAGAAGTATAATCATTTGCTCTCTCACTTGGATTAACAACTAGTTAACTTACTATTGTAACCTACAATTACTTAACTATTAAATTTACTTAATATACTCAAAGACTTGCAAAATTTACCCTTCCAAATGTTTCTATTTATATCTTATTAACACATAAAATAAGCTTCTAACTAAAAATTATTTGAACAAGAAGTGTTGATTAGAATATAAAAAATGCGATGCCATTTTTTTATATTTTCTTTTTATTCAAAGCGATACTAGGATTAAACATTTTCTATAAACACGCAAGTTGTTTTGGGATTTATTTAAATAAAAGAAATCTACTTGAAGTCTAATTTGAATAAAAGAATTTTAGTTTTTAAAAAATTCTCTTATTCAAATAATTTTGCAACTGAAAATTGAAATTAAAAAAAATAAATATAAATTTAATTGCAGCAACGTCCATAATACCCAGTTGCATAGCAAAGATCACTCCTGAAAGTTAAATGTATATCTAACTAAAATAACAATATCAGATTTAGAACATTGTGAAGGTGAGGAAGAAAGTTTTATTTAAATCCAAAACATTTTGAATAATTAATAATTTTTTATTTCTTGAAAATAGTTTCTTGAAAAACATTAAACCAGTGATAATTGGAATAAAAACATCAAGCCATTTTAACAAAAAAATTATATACTTAAATTTTTAATAGTACGCTAGATCAAGAAACAAAAATTTATAGAAAAAGTGGTACCTAATATTTTTTTGCTATGATCTTACTCATTTGATCTATAGATTATAGACTCGTATGGTCTATAGGCATGTTTTTGCTCAAATGTTAAGTTGAAAGTTTTATGACAATAAGTTTTAATTTAATAATAAGTACAATTCTATTTTTCTATAAATTTTATTAAGTTCATTTTATTTTAACGTGTTTTATGTTAATAATATTATAAACTGTATAAAAGAGCAATAAAACGGTGTTATGAAGTTGTTTTACATTAACAGAAGCTATTTTAATGTCAAAACAACTTTGCAGTTTGTTTTATTGTTTTTGTATAGCTTTTTGCAATAATTATAAAAATATAAAAATAAATAAATATATTTATTTTTAACATGGTTGCATATTGAACAAAAAACTAAAAGTTTGCATATAAATATTATTGCAATAAGTAAAAAAAACTTTGGTAAAAAAATTGGAATTGTTTATAGACAAAAAGATCAGAATAAAAAAGCTATATAAATATATATATATATATATATATATATATATATATATATATATATATATATATATATATATATATATATATATATATATATATATATATTATTATAATTTCAATTAACTACCCCTTTAATTGTGGGACATTGGTGTTAAAACTATATATATTATATATAGTTTTAACACCAATGTCCCACAATATATATATATAATATATATATATATATATATATATATATATATATATATATATATATATATATATATATATATATATATATTATATATATATATATATATATATATATATATATATATATATATATATATATATATATATATATATATATATATATATATATATATATATATATATATATATATATATATATATATATATATATATATATATATATATATATATATATATACATATATATATATATATATATATATATATATATATATATATATATATATATATATATATATATATATATATATATATATATATATATATATACATATATATATATATATATATATATATATATATATATATATATATATATATATATATATATATATATATATATATATATATTATTATAATTTCAATTAACTACCCCTTTAATTGTGGGACATTGGTGTTAAAACTAACTTTGGAAAATAATTAGCCTGATTGGACCACTATTGCGCCGCTCCAGACCTCTTTTAATTGATAAAAAATGGTCCAAATATGACTATATTCGAAAGGCTTGTGGGAGGTTATAATATCAAAATTTTGAACTGATTTTTTTTTATTATAGACAGATATTGATGTATATTTTCAAATAAAAAGGATAGTTAAGGCAGAATATATTTTTGCTGTTATATTGAGTTGAAAAGTCACAAAAAAATTATTTTGCTGCGTATTATTTAATTATAATTAAATAATACACTTGAATTTTTTTTATGAATAAAAATTTATTTTCAATTGATTATTAATTATTTAAATTAATATAAAAGTTCGTTAAATAAATTTGTTTGATAATCATCATTTTTAAATCATTTTTTCCATTGTAGAAAGTGAGTCAAATAACCTTTTCTTAGACAAATTTGATGGTCTTTTTCTTAGATTTTTCGTAGCAAATCTAGCTTTATCAACAGTAGGCAGTCTGTTCTGAATTTCTTCATATTTAATATATCTGTGAACAAACTGTTGCATCATTCCTACTGCTCTTTTAGCAGGATCATTTAAAACAACTAAAGATTTAGCAATTAGCAATCCATTATTTCTTGCTTGTAAATACCCCATATCAGAGCTGAAGATTGTTCACTTTTGTAATGTTGCAACTTAAAGAAAAATATCTGGACCAGAGAATCTTTTATTTAAAAAACTCAAAGACATATTTGAAACTCCTGGTTTTCATTAAAATACTAATGCGACAAGATTTATAATATTTAAAATTATAATATTTAATCTATTAAAATTATAATATTTAAATACTAATGCTACAAGGTTTCTTTAGAATAAGAAAAAAAGAACTGCTATCGAATGTGCTGCAGTCGAATCTCTAAATTTGCGTAAAGAACACAAAAGATATTAAAACCCTTTTTATTACTTATAATTAAAAAATAAAAAAGGTTTTAGTATCAAAGCATAGACCTCTGATGTTTCCTTTAGTTTTATATTCCTTGAAGAGATTTACCACACCTTTATACTAATCCTACCCTGAGGAAAATGGAAGAGAAGGTACTCCAAGAAGATAGACTTCTCCATCAATATTTAAAAGAACTGCTAATCTGTCATTTTTGTGTCGCTTGCCTTTTTTTCATTTTAAATGAGATTTTGCCATCGAGATTATATCATCATTTTGCTGCAATGTAATTTACCATCGAAATGAATGATAGGTGGATATTTCGAAGCTTTTAAAGCAGCATAAATGCCATTTCTGAAAATTGTCATTTCTTGTTTACTTATTTTTAAGTTTACTTTTTTCAAAAGAGGCTTCTGAAATGCGGTTTACGTGTAAATTACTTACATCCACAGCAGCTTTATGAACAACAGAAGCAACAATAGTCTGGAGAACTGCAGGAGATATATCATTGATTGATGCTGCAAGAGCAACACTGCCACTGTAAATATCTTCTTTTTTTTCATTTATTTTTTCTTTTCTCCTAGTCCAAGTGTCAATCATTCAACATTTCTGTATCATTTTCACCTACAATTAGTTCCTGAATTAAATTTGCTTTAACTTCCAGAGTATTTTTTTTTCTTTTGAAAATTTTTTTTGAATACTCTCTCTAGACATTTTACTATATTTTTTACCCTTGGTATTTTATCTTATTCATTATAATCTAAACGAGTAAAATTGTTATAGCCATACAGACATATATAATAAAATAACAAAGAAAAAGAAAATAGTCTATCAAAAACAAAATAAAAGTGTAAAACAAAGTATTTCACCATTCTTATAACTTGCAGCAAAATAATTCTTTTTTTTTGCAACTTTTAATACTATTTAACTCAATAAAACAGCAATAGTAGGCATATTCTGCCTTTATTAACCTTTTTATTTGAAAATATACATCAATACATGTCTTAAAAAAAAATCAGTTCAAAACTTTGATACTATTACTTCCCCCAAGCCTTTTGAATAGAGTAATTTTTGGACCTTTTTATTTAATTTAAAGGGGTCTGGGGAGGCACATTAGTGGTCCAATCAGACTAATTTTTTTCCAAAGTTGGTTTTAACACTAATGTCCCATATTTTAAGGGACAGTTAATTGAAATTCAAAAATTTACTCAAAAGCAAGTACCCAAATACATATATATATATATATATATATATATATATATATATATATATATATATATATATATATATATATATATATATATATATATATATATATATATATATATTATATATATATATATACAATTGTTCTAAATGCATAATTATTATTGATGCATAATTATTTATTTGTATAAACTTGTTTTTTATACAATTTAATTTTTTCATTTATTATATTTTCTTTACCAGTCTGCTTTTGGCTATATATAATAATGACAAATAACTGCTATTCCAATGCATTTCAAGTTTGGCTTGGCATCAGATAAGATTGTTGGTTTTGTCTATGAAAATGATGATACAGAAGTTGATGAAGTTAGTTTTAAAATAATAAAATATTTTAAACTC